ATTGGCCGATGGTTCTACTAAACTGAAGACCAACTTCTGGGAATGTTGGGTCGCAGTTGACTATGATAACCACCACAGACCAATTAAGTGCCAATTACCAGGTTAAATCCCTCAGTAGGATAAATATTAGGAGGACAGTTGTAGATTGTAGTTAGGATATATTTGTTGGTGATCTTGTGATATCGAAATAATACCGAGATCGTACCAAAGTTTACAGGCGAGACTACCGTACATACGTCAGTAGGTTCAAGGTCACAAACAACGGAAAAAGTGTTTTTTGGTACAATTAAACAAAAAGGTACAGTAAAACAACCACTGGTACAGCTGGTTATAATAATGAATGTTTCCATCACACCAACCACGTTCTCTTCTTAAAAGTAGATAACTAGAAACTAAGGTTGAAAGCATCAGGCATTATATTTTGACTGACTGACTACGGTAATAGAGTATTGCAAATCAATACATGTCATTTTCCAAGGTATTTGTATAGTTCATTAATAAGTAATTGGCATATTAACTAACAATAGTTCGTTGAAGATCATAATTGAGACTGATTAATAAAAATGGGGAAAGTTTTCAATGAAACTAAGTTTAATTTTGGCTTGGAAAGGTGTTTAGTCAGACTACATGAATGATTTAGATTCACAGTGAATAAGAATTCTAATATTGAATATTATATTGTTGGCAGGATTTTTAGAGCCTCAAGTTTATACGAAAAATGAGAGTAATGGAATTATTTACATTCTTTGATGGCTGTATATGCGTGAGTTATTTCTATTAAAAACACTTGGATAAAAACTGAAACTAATGGCAACTTTTTTAGGCCTTCTAGTATCACAAAGTAGAACCGAAATTCGTTTGATTCCCTAACATGTCCCTCAACAAAATGTTTTGACATGGTTCTGATGGATGGAAATGGAAGGATTGTACAACTGTATAGAACTGTTATCATATAAGACATTTTTCATAGAGAGTATCCAAATTACTGTATTAAGCAATCTAGCCAAAATGAAGAAAAACCCCTGAAGAAACCACAGCAAGCAAGAATACTATTTTCATTCAACCTGGAGTCAAAGGTGGAGATATTGCAGAGTCAATAAAGGGAAGATTAAAACACACCATAACCGGAATTTTTCACTAATTTTGACTAAATCAATTAAAATAAAGTGATGAAGCTAATATTTAGGCATACTTATGTTAGACAATTAGTCCCTTTAACAAATTTTAATAGTGTAATTAGAAGACGAAGATTATCAGAAAAGAAAATAATGTGAAAACAATTTGAAACCTCATCACTCTGGATAATAAGCTAATATTACCAGGGTAGGTTTAGGGTGATAACAAACAGTTTTTGAATACACAAAGGGAAGTTGAATTATCATATGACTAAGGCTTCAATAAACCTTAGCATACGTCCTTTTACACTTTCGTACAACACAAAAGCCGAGTTAAGATCAATCATATAACCTGTTTCAATTACGTGTTTGGCAATAGAGGATGACGGATGTTTATCCTCTACTCTTATTGGATCATTTGATTTTATTTGTTTCTTCAGCCATATGGGTACATGTTCACACACCCTAATTTTGAGATCACGATTGCTCCTCCCTATGTATATGTGACCACACATATTTAAATTGATAAACACAGTGGGATGTGACGCAGTCGTTTTAATGTCTTTTAGGTTTTGGATGAAGCGTGAACCTCAATCTTTCTCTTGCTACGTAATACGTCTTATTATTAACTGACTTAGGCCTTGATTTCAATAAAATGCTATTCATTAGGAATGCTATTCCATTCACCATTATCGACAGTGTATCCCATGAGAGTGGGACGTATGAATTAGTTTGCTGCCGCCTGAAATGCAGGGGACAAGAGTTACTACTTAGTTTGATCTATCGCAGTCCAAGCTGTGAGGCAAACGAGGTCCTGCTAAGCAGTCTCAACACTTTATCACGAAGTGATCGATGTCTAATCCTAGGGGACTTTAATGCACCCATGGTGGACTGGGGAAATCTGCGGACTGAATCGTCAGCAAACTCCTTCGAACAGGAACTAGTTGATGCGATAATCACATGTGCTCTAGTGCAACACGTGAAGGAAGCAACTAGGTACGACCCGGGTTCTGCATCATCCTTACTAGATCTTATATTGACTCATTATGAGGATGATGTTGCAAACCTGGATTACATGCCACCCCTAGGCAAAAGTGATCATGCAGTTTTAAGCTTTGACTTCCATATAACTGTCGATCACGAGTACGCTCCAGCTCAATCCAGACCTAACGTCTGGAAAGCAAACATAGCAGACATCATGAAATCAGCATCATTAGTAGATTGGAAATTAGATCCAGAGTCATCAATCGAAACGGCTTGGGACGTATTCCGGAATTTATACTTAAAAGTTACCACCCCCACATCCCTTGGACTACACCTAAGAGACCGAGAAACTCCCCACCGTGGTTCAGTAGGGAGGTTCGCATCCTTCTCCGTAAAAGAAGAAAAATGTGGGACAGATTTAGGTTACTGGGGACTGACGAGGCGAAATCTCAGTATCAAAAGGCTCGAAATACCTGTGCCTCGACCCTCCGTAAGGCCAGAAAGCTGTACGAAGAGAAAATCGTTAGGGAATCCATAGAATGCCCTAAACGCTTGTATTCGTATATAAACCAAAGGACAAAAAGAAGAAGAAATGTTCCTTCACTATGGGGAGACAGTACTGCCACATCACTAGTGGAGGATGACTTTGGCAAAGCTCAAGTATTCTCTAAATACTTTAGCGATGTATACACCATAGAAACACCCTTCTCACCAGTCCATGAAAATCCACCCACACAAGCACTGGACAGCGTAACCATTAAAGAACTCGATGTCTTTGGTCTGCTAGTTAAGCTTGACATAGGTAAATCCACTGGACCCGATGAACTGCATCCTAGGTTATTAAAGGAATTAGCTAACTTTGTTGCGAACCCTTTAAGTGTATGTTTTAATCTATCCGTAACCCAGGGTCGTCTACCAAAAGACTGGAAGAACGCCATAGTAAGTCCAGTCTTCAAAACAGGTACAAAATATAAGCCTGAGAACTACCGACCAATTAGCCTAACTAGTGTGGTTGTTAAAATCTTAGAAAAGATTATTCGGAAGGAACTGTTAAAGTGTCTCGATGAAAACCGGATCCTCTCCGAAAAGCAGCATGGTTTTAGAACAGGTTACTCTTGTCTCACAAGCTTATTAGTCGCTCGTGAAAGCTGGTGCGCTCTTAAGGACCAAAAATTACCTATAGACGTAGCTTACATCGATTTCAGCAAAGCTTTCGACAAAGTTCCGCATAACCGGCTGTTATATAAGCTAAGGAATGTCGGGATTGGAGGCAATCTATTGATGTGGATAAAAGACTTCCTAGTTGGGCGTCAACAAAGAGTAAGGGTGAACTCCAAGTTGTCTAGCTGGGAAACTGTGCTTAGTGGAGTCCCCCAGGGTACAGTTTTGGGGCCAGTGTTATTCCTCCTGTACGTAAATGATCTCCCTCGTCTACTATCATCATCGGTCTTACTCTATGCTGATGATGTCAAGATATGGAGAGCGATACAAAGCAAGGGCGATAGCTTAGAACTTCAAAATGACCTGGAGAGATTATCTGAATGGTCCCAAACCTGGCAATTGCCGATAAACACTTCCAAGTGTATTGTGATGCATATTGGCCATCAGGGTACAGATACATACACGATGAATAACACTGAGTTACCTATTGTTCAGGCACACAACGACTTAGGCGTCATTGTCAGTCAAGACTTAAAGACTACTGCACACTGCCGTGCAATAGCCGCCAAAGGTTTTAGGACTTTATGATCCATACGCAGGGCTTTTAGGCATCTTGACGCTAAAACGTTTTTGACTTTCTATACAGTGTTCGTACGCCCTAAACTTGAGTACTGTATACAAGCAGCTAACCCCTGCCTAAAAAAAGACAGTGAACTCTTGGAAAGGGTTCAGAGAACAGCAACTAGGCTGATTCCCGGAATAGCGAAGCTCCCGTATGGTACTAGACTGACCAAGCTAAACCTATTCCCGCTGTCATATAGAAGAATCAGAGGTGACTTGATTATAGTTTTCAAATTGCTAAATGACAAATTTGCACCTGATATGCCCTCACTTTTCTTGTCTTCCAAAACAGAAAATCTACGAGGACACTCCAAAAAAGTTCACAAGCCCAGAACGAATTACTTGTCAGCTGACTACCGACTTTCCCATCGAATAATCAACGAGTGGAATTCATTACGTCAGCACGTGGTTGAGGCTCCATCCGTCGACTCCTTCAAAAGAAAGTTGGATCAGCTGAGAGACCGTCATTGCCAGGACTAACACAGGCCATCAAGCCTCCTGTCCTTTCCAAACTGAAACTGAATACTGGCCTCTTCGGGTTGAGGATATTAGACGACTCTCTGTATCTGATCGTCGTCGTCTCAGAAGTATCGCTGACATCCAGTGGCGATGTCATTTTACTAATGCAGAGATTCGGCATCGTGTTCACTTGGTGTCACCTTGAAACACCAACTTCGATGGCTTGGATATGTCCTACGAATTCTACATCGTCATTTTTATCATGTGCATATGTTTATTTCGGTATCATTTGTAACAATGTTTGTGTTTAAATAAATAAATAAAACACACAAACTGCAATTCAGACAAGTGATAGTGAAATTTTCTCATGCGGTCCGAATTTAACATAACTTCTACTTAAAAGCCATCTTAATTTATTTTTGCGCACACTTTTAATACAATGAAAAGCCAGTCTTTTACCTACATTGAAATTATTATCAATCTTGCTGATTTAATTAACGGGAAACTCTGAAACGACAGGTTTATATACTTGAACGTCACTATTAACATGTGTTTGGCAAAGGTTTTCACTACTACTACTGATATATGCAAACATGTTCGTTTAAATTTACCACGACAAATAGGACCACATATAGTCTTACCTGTCATTTTCCAATGTACTCAGAGTTGCTATTTTGGGCTTGCTGTATGGTGGTTTATTAAATGTGGAAAGTGAAGGCTCATTGTTGCTCTTACTCGGTGGTTGAATAGCTTGGTCAAAATGAGAACCATCGCTTGAATGAATAGCATCCTCTGAATCAAAATACGCCTTGACTGCCTCCTAAAACAAAGGGTTAGTTCAAGCTCCGCGATTCCTACGTCACAATTCCAATCGAAAGCTTCCAGAAAATGTCTAGCTTCTATTTCAGACGTCCCAGTAATACTGCAAAAATTTTCGATAACAGAAGGGTCCATCTGAATGAAAAATTTATGACGGATTACAGGCAAAATAAATGTGTAAATTAAATAAAAAGAAGACCGAACAAATTAGTAACTTTGGATACTCAGTAACATAGACAATAAATATACCTACTCAATCACTCCTAACTGTTACGCACCTTTTAAATCTTAGTGAGCCTGAAGTATGTCTCAAATGTCCAATATCTCCCAGACGAAACTGGTTGAGATAGCCATGAGTGAAGTAAGAGTAGTTAAAACTGTCATGCCTATATAACTACTGATAACATTTTCTGTGTATTTCAGCATGTGGATGTGTGCCCTGAATAGATCTATCTGACTGAACAATCTGTTGGTTGATGATAGCATAATCGCCTAACTCCAGTAGGCCCCTGATCATTCGACACAGATCATTTACGTTGTGGTTCCGTACTGATGAATCCAGCGTGATATTTGTCAGTTTACGCAGTTTCGTGAATCTTCTGCAAATTGAAAACGACTTCGTCGCCTCGATCCCAAAACAAACAGGGTTTCTCACCAGTATCATTGTTCGGTTCATATTGATACCCTTGGTTTCTTTCATTCGCCTCAATGTTCTTCGGTTTACTTACAGTACAAACGTGAAGCACGCCCTGCTTATTATTTTGTGGAGATAACTTTGTAGCAGTGAAAATTAATCACAAAAACAAACAATTTTGTGAGTATTCGATAATGATGCTGACCTCGTTAGTTTTACTGGACACACTTATCTGAAGGCTCTCGATCAGTCATCCACACCGGATTACGGGTTTATTTACCGTACTACGCATCCCTGCTTAAACGAAATGCTTTTCGGAAAATTGGTAGCCTTTAAAATATATCTTCGAATCTCTTCATTTCTGGCTTCTCATTTGACTGGGTTGGTATATTTTGATTATAAAGGTATTACTTGTAAAGGCGTAGTCAAACTCTTAATACATGTGGCACTTTTAGTGATGACAGTGCCATAATCTAGCACAGCTATTCGTAAACTGTGAGTCTGTTCTTTGTTGGAACATTGCATATCATTTTTAAATTTCTATTTTTACAGATTGTGGCTATCAGGACTCAGTGGCCGAGTGGATAACGCGATGGCGTTTGAAGCGAGGGTACTGAGTTCGAGTCCCAGAGTGATCATCAACTCTGAGACGCAGGTACATCCAGCTGACGAGTCTCAAATAGGACGAAACGCGCGTCCTGGATTCCACTGCTAGCCACTATCCATCTCTGCTTACCATGCTTGTGAATTACGGTATATTGAGGCAATACGCACAGTATGCACAAATACCGATTAGAGACTGACCAGTTGCAGTCCAAAACACATCGATGGGAAGATTGAAACAAACAATACTAAGTGGATTGTGATATTGTTCTCATGTTTTCGAATGTTTCTTTTCCCATTCATCGCTATGTTATATCTTTGTGATAGAACAGGCACCCAAGTTGTTCAGGATTAAACCTCTTTCACGTCCAACACTTCAGCTATTTGCCATTCTGGCCTGACAGTATAGAAACCCGGTTCTGCTACGCAAAGGCTGACTTCCACGACCACGGAGTGACAGACCTACGTGTATAAAGTTTTACAGTTGTGAAAGCATTACCACGTCACTTCGAAACGCATTGCACACCTAGTATGTTCTCTAGTAATGTTTTGGGACCTTACAACAATTTGAAAAAGGATGTGCTTTAAGGTGAAGACTTATCCGACTCTTCCACAACACTGAATCGTAACAGAAGTGTTGCCATGTATGCGTGACACCATCGGTCAACCGACCTATGATGAGATCCTTTTTAGACAGCTCTTCTCGTATAAGCTTCCCTAAAAGCGCAGACAGTCCTTGTCTCATTACAAATAACGTCGTGGACGAACTGGCTGAGTTTACCGACTGGATTCCGGAAATCACCAGAACCCTCAACGCTGAGGTTTATTCTGCCGAAGAAATTTCTCAAAGGACACAAAACGGCGTCGCAAACCATAGTCACACTCTGACACATTATGTCGATATTCACCGTAATCGTATACGCTCTAAAACTCCTCTAAGGAGCTCGTTACGATGAAGATCTGTGTCTGAACCACGGGCGGCAGATAATCTTGATTGGTGCTTGCACCACAATAAATATGGTAAGTCCCACATCTTCCGAATCTTCAAACCAGCTGACACTAAAACCCTTCGGGAAACTTCCCCGCTGGCACCCGTTTACGACAACGTAACTTCCTTTTCTGGTTGTGGATTATCCGCAGTCACAGTAAGGCACACAATCGACCCTTTCTATAAACCGGCACCCCGATAGGTACCCGAAATATACCAAACGCATCTGAAACTATCCTATGTTACCAGCAGTATTAGGCACCACATCACGACTATAGGACTACCTGTATTTTCGGAAGCGCGTCGGCTAGCTCTGAGGTTGTCTAAAAACGAATTCGGCCACATGATTAGCTTAAAAATTGGCCGATCATCGAACGACCGATGGGCATACCCCTTGTACATGGTTCTTAAAAACGACAGCTATGATTGGCATCCAACTGGTGACTATCGGCGACTGGATGTGAAAACAATTCCCGATCATTACACATCGCCTCACATTCACTAGCTGACGGCCAACCTAAAAGGTACGACTGCTTTTTTTAGAAAACCGATTTAGTTAAGGCGTACAACCGAGGTTCCATGGCTGCAGACGACAAACCTACCATCACCCCCTTCGGACTGTACGAATTCTTACGCATGCTATTCCGTTTCAGAAATGATGCACATACTTTCAAGAGATTCAATTATGACCTCTTTAGAGCCATCAACTTTGCGCACATATATGTAGATGACTGCTTGATGATCAAATCTGAACCGACTCGCTAGATTTCTCGGACACACTATTGATTCTCAAGGCATCTCACCCCTGAAAGCAGCGGCCATTCTGGTAAGTTTCTATCGATGGTTTATACAGAAATGAGCGTTTCTTATGAGACCTTCAACCGACCAAGTTGGAAACTCATCTAAATTTGGCGATGACGCGAACAAAGCTTTATCCACAAGAAACCACCAACCTCATCGCGGAACGATTTGTTGGCCTGATATGAAGAAAACCATGAGAGATTGTGCACGCTCCTGTGTGAGCTGCCAGAAACCCAAGGTGAATAGACATAACGAAAAATCATCAGGCTCTTTCACAACTAGTTTCAGACATGTTCGTCCAGATTTGGTAGAAACATTGCCAGATTCAAATGGATACTCTCACCTCGTATCGTGTGTGTCGTTTCACACGATGGCCTGGAGCAGAACTCATCAGGGACTTTACTGTTAAAACAGTCGCTCCCGCGATCGTCGACACAGCTTCGGCTGTCCTTCAATTATCACTACAAACCGTGAACGCCAGCTTGAATTTGGACTTTTCCGTTGTCTTATTTCATTACTAGGAATCACAAGATTCTGAAAAACAGTCTACCACCTATCAGCAATCCGGTTGATGGAACAGTTTCATAGACATTTGAAAGCTTCACTCTCATCTGAAAACGTTTCACAGTGGACCAGAGTCCTTCCATTAGTTTTACTTGGTATTCATAAAGCAGTCAAAGCCGAAGTTGGACACATTGACTGCACGACACTCCACATCCCAGTAGAGTTTGCGGATCCTTCATCTTCAATAAGTATGGATATAGACTCTTACACGAGCAGGTCCACAAACCCCATGAGTTCAGTTAAATCTGTTTCCACTCGACCGCAGTCAACTGATGTTTTAGTTCAACATGACTTACGACATGGTACACAGTCATTATGATGACCACTCGAAATGGCAAACGAAGGACACTTCAAAGACCTTCATTGTAAAACTAAATGCGACATCATCGGTAAGAAAGGAATCGAAGATAATATCAACATTCACTGTCTCAAAGCTACATACATGGAAGTAGACACTTATAAAGCTGATTTGCCTCCGATACAAAAGGATGATATGTTTATCATTATCAAGGTCACCTTTTAACATGTGCTTGCCGCTTGAGACCATTTTCGAATTTTGGACCTCACTAACGTTGAACACATCGAGGTGAACATATTTTTATCTGATTTAGTAAGTCTACACTTTTGACACCCATTAGATTTTGAACATATAAGCTGCAACCGCACGGGATTGATCTATGATCTTAGTGTCACGACTCACCATTAGCCATAGAAAAATGACTGAAACGCCTTGTTCAAACATGTATCAGCCCCTTCAGTGAACACTTTTAAGGAGAAGGTAGACCTTCATTTGAAAGCAAACTATCAGTATTAACATAAGTCCACCAACATACTATCTTTATAACTGAAGAGTATACTCAGAGTATACAGCAGAGTATACTCGAGCTGGGTTGGGAAAATCCGAGAACTTCGAGACCTCTGATAGGAAGGCTCGGAGATCAAGTCCGTCGCATTTTATACTTTACAAATGAGGTCACCTTGTGAGCACTATTGACTTTTCTGTGATCGCCAAAATTCATGTAGTGGTGTTGGTTTATCTATTCTTGTTGGCTTCACTCAAGTTACCTTAGTTCGTTATAGTCTGCTGTTTCGACGGATGATTTTGTGGTGTGGGGTCGATAATGAACAAGAACATTTCCGAAAATTTGCACTGCTCTTATAGTTTTACTCAAGTATTGAGACTTGCGGTTTTTGTAAAGATCCTCGTATCATTTTTCAGTATCGTTAGTTTGTACAAGTCATAGAAGTATAATCCTGCATCTGGTATATTGATTGCCCCTAACTCCTCCAGTGCGTTGTGTAACTGGACTGCAGCGTGTAGTTAAGTTGTTAATACTTTTTTATGCTTATGACGTCAAAATCAGGTGAAATATGCACTTCAGGTCGACCTAGAAATTTTAACTAACTGGTCTAAACCGTGGTTAATGTTTATGAGTGCGGTCAGGCACATTACATATGCAAAGGCGAACAACTACAGCACTGAGGAAGTGTCTTCCCTATTATGTCTGTCTTATAATGTCCTATGGCTTATGGTGAGTCGTGACC